GCACATAATCCATCTGCAGCCAAAGCACTTAGAAATTATGTTGATAAGCAATTACAATTACAAAATAAGGAAATTACTAAGACTTGTAATGTTTGTTGGATTTTTGCTGCCACAAAAGAAAAAGATATTTCGAAAATACTTGAGTTATTAATGAGAAATGGTGATTCATTGTTTGCAGTGAGTTTTACAAATGTTGAGGGGATGCCTTGGGTTAAATGTTATGATCCACAAGTTATTTTAGAATATGCAAATTCGTTAGAATCAAAGATTAATTCAAAAGTTGTAGAAAATTTAGATGAAGCGCTGCGTCAGACATTTGCAAGTTACGATGAACAAAGTCAAATTGTGGTTTTATATGGAAGTTTGTACTTGATCTCTGATTTATTTAGAATGCTTCAATGATTTAAATATATTGAATTATGAAATTTCAAAGTAAAAGCATATGGAACTTTAGTGTGATTTTTTTTTTGGAATATATTTTTTCATTACAATAAGTTTTAGAAGTTGTACAAAAAAGACACTTTGTGCATCAAAGCATCTTCCGGGATAATAATTTGGCCATTAGAAATGATTTTTTTTTAAAAAAATGTATGCTAAATAAATATATATATTATTATTATTATTATTATTATTAATTTTAAATAATGTATATAATTATTAAATATATTTAAGATTAACTTACAAAGATAAAATTAGTTTCGGGTATATTATGCAGCAGGGAGTGAAAAATTTAATCAATAGCTATTGATTTAAAATCAATAAAAATTGTTTTATTTCATTTCTATAAATTTACGAAATTAAAATACTGTAAAAATTTTTAAAATAAATAGATATGAAAAATATTTTTATTCAAAATTCAAAAAAAAAAAACTAACTATGGTTTGTTTAAGAATTACTTAAATTTCTGCAATAACTACTGAATTACCTAGATTTACCGGTATACCATTTATATAGTATAGAATACAGATGTTTATTCTCACTTTCCCGAAAATCGCCTTCCCAAAATACTATTTTCCCGACCCTATAATTCTGTTATCCCCTTTTCCCGACAACTGACAGTATATTTCACTAATAGAAATTTTCAACAAGTTTTTTTTATCTCAACCCCGACATCCTGAACTTCTAAAAAAAAATTATTTTCACCAACAAAACCTTTCTCCAAACTCCTTTCCCCAACAAGATTTTATTTGTAGCCTTTTCATCGACAAATATTTGATCCTATTTCCTTGAAAGGATGTTTCCTGAAAAGATATTTTCCTGAAAGATATTTCCTCAAAAATAAATTTCCCAATAAGATGTTTTCTCGATTGAACAAAATTGCATAAATCAGGCCAACCTTAACATAAACCAGGCCAACTTTGTCGGCGAAATGACTGTCAGTGAATAGTTGTTGGCAAATTTGTTTATAACTTTTTTGTGTTATCAAGTAACTCAGAATAGCTGTAAATTGGTAAAAAGATCCTTCGGTAAATGAACTTTCAGTAATATTTGGTGAAATGGAAATTGAAGATAGATGACTTTATCAGTAAAATTTGTTCTCCGACAGCTTACTATGATTTGTCTGTCCAATAATTTTATTATTGGGCAGAAACGAAAGTTAAAATTATTGATTACTACATCACTTAATTTTAATAATCAAAATTCCAATCAAAATTTCGATCCTTATAATAATTCAGTAGTGCGAAATACGGAGTTTACATTTCAGCCAATCAACGTAACTCTGTAAAAAAGGGAGTTGCTTTTTGACTTAAATGATTATCACGATTTTATTATTATTTTTTTTTGCCAATTAAGAGACGCCTTAATCACTATTTAATATATATATATATAATTGGAAATAATGGTTATTATTCATTTTTCGAGATGATCTTTGCCGAGATATTTCTCAACTTTTTGAGGATGCTGATGATTATAGTGTTATAATTCAAATTGGAGTAGAACCAGACTTTGAAGAATTCAAAGCTCATTCAGTTATTTTACGGGCTAGATGATCTTACTTTAAAACTGCTTTATCCGATAAATGGGTGAAATATTTATTATCTTCCAAAACCAAATATCTCACCAGCTATATTTCTTTTAATTCTACGGTATATATATGTGATTACATTGAATACTTATAGTGACCACACTAGTGTTAGTAGCAGTCAGTGATTATGTGATGCCATGAAAAAACGAAAACCGCGGGAAAAAAAACTTTTAACTATAGAGCCAATCTGTACACGATCAGTGAAACGGCCCTGCAGAAACATGGATCAAGCCAAGTCCTAAAGCCCTGAATTGGTTAAGGTGATCGCAAGAAATCATGGTCAAATCGCGATAATAATGTTATCAAGATTGCCTCAAGACCGCAGTAAAAAGAAAAGGAAAGCGTAAGGAAAAAAATAATGAAAAGCCCACCACTTTACAAACATTGACAAAAAAGCCTGAAAAGAATAAAGAGGCGATGACGTGATTTTGTGTTGATGAGTGTAAACAAATAGTTGAAAGCAAATAATTACAAACTTGTTTGACTTATTTTACTAAATGTCATGTACATTATTGGGCAAAATTGTCGAATAACGGCAATTTGGCAAATGAGCACGTGCCGCAAAGCGGCACGTTGTATTCGATGATCATGAGTTGCTCGCTGAGTTTTAATTTTAAAACTGGAATAAATATAATTACGTCGTAACACATGAAAAAAATAACAAAAAGAAAATTTTTCATGATCGTATGAGTTTGCCGCATAACCTAGTATATGAGTAAAAAAATAAACATCTATAAACTGATATTGAAATAAATCATCCAATTCATGAATATTTCTATCAGGTAATTCTTCGCATTTATTTTATTTAAATTAATTTAGTTTAGAAGCATAAAAGCCAGCAACATGTAGATTATTATCACACAATACAACTTGATTTCTAATTATTTAAATAGAGCAGCGAAGCCGCCTGCATTATCATGTTCTGGTTATCCTATGATATAGATTTTTTACGAGGCAATCCCCAAAATTCCAGGTTGGAATTCAAAGCAATATTAATGTATTAGTCGTACAAACTATACAAATTTCTGTTTTTGTTACACTGAAATACAAACATGCATGTAGGCAGAAACTAATACGACAACATAAGTTAACTAATGAATTAATCAAAAACGTAACTATATATCAATGTAACTTTTGTATCACTTTAATTAAATATTAAATGTCCTCCGTTACGCTCCGGACAATTAAAGTATATATTTATATTTAGAGCATGAATTTTTTTCCTTCTTTAAAAAAAAAAAAAAGGACCCTGAACAACTTTATGAACTTGGTTACAATTATAAATACGGTATTGGTGTTAAGAAAGATGAAAAGAAAGGGGTTGAATATTATATGAGAGCAGCTGAGTTAGGAAATTCGGATGCGATGCATGCTGTTGGTATTTGTTATTATAATGGAATTGGAATAGGATTAAATTATCAGAAAGCATTTGAATATTATAAAAAATCGGCTGATTTGGACAATGCTCGAGGAATATGTGATGTCGGTTTTTATTATGCAAATGGAACCGGAGTTGTTCAGGATTTTAATAAAGCATTTGAATACTATACAAAAGCTGCTAATATGGGTGTTAATGCAGGAATGAGTAATCTTGCACGATATTATCGAAATGGTATCGGTACAAATAAAGATATTCAGAGTGCAAATTATTGGTTTGCAAAATATAGAAGTCTTTTTAAAACTAATAAGTCACCAGATCATATTAATCCTGAACTTAAAAGAATATTAGATGATGAAAGATTTAAATTGTCTTGGGTTGATTATAATGAATTCGGGAATATAGGTGAATTGGGAAAAGGAGGATTTGCAACTGTATATTACGCACGTTGGTTAGATAGAATTAATGGTACATTGCATAACGTTGAATTTAAAGTGATTCGTGATTCAAACGAAAATGTGCAAGAATTTATCCAGGAATTAAAAAATTACTGTGAAATTGGTTATAAGAATCCTTCGTTCTTGGAATG